ATGCCGGTCTCCGGCATCCCTGCGCCGAGCGTCTATTGGCGCACATATGGCGGCCGGCTCTTCGATGTGCCGTTCGTCATCTACCTAGCGGTCGCTGTGGCGGTGATCCTGTATGTGATCGCACGCACGCGGCTCATCACCCAGCTGCTGGCGGTCGGCGACAACCAGCAATCGGCCTACCAGTCGGGTTTGCCTGTCACCATGACGCGCATTCGCGGCTATGCGCTGTGCGGCGTGTTCGCGGCGCTGGCCGCACTGTGCATCACCGGCGATACGGCCAGCGGCGACCCTCTGGTCGGCGGTACGATGACACTGAACAGCGTCGCGGCCGTCGTGCTGGGCGGGACGGCATTGTCCGGCGGTGTCGGCTCGGTTGCCGGATCGGTGATCGGTGCGCTGATCATCGGCCTGGTCAACTCGCTGGTCTTCTTCGTCGGCACGCCCTCGGAATGGCAGAACCTTGTGCAGGGCCTGGCCATACTGGTCGCTTTGACGGTGGGTATCCTCGTCTCGCGGAGGGCCGGCCAATGAGCGCCGCCGAACCCGGCATTGGACGAACCGCCGCTCTCTCCGCCGAGCGCCTCGTGCGGCAGCCCATCATCGTCGCGCTCGCGCTGATTGCCGCCCTGCTGGTCGCCGGCGAACTTCTGTCGCCGGGCTTTGCGTCGGGCGAACAGATCCTCCGTCTGCTCATCGTTGCAGCCCTGCTCGGCATCGTCGCTGCGGGGCAGAACCTGGTCATTCTTGGTGGCCGCGAGGGCATCGACCTGTCGGTCGGCGGTGTCGTGTCGCTCAGCGCGATCGTCGCCGGCAACATCATGAACGGCACCGATGCCGGCATCGTGCCGGCGATACTCGCCTGTGTCGCCATCGGCGGGCTGTTCGGCCTCATTAACGGCGTCGGCGTGACACTGCTGCGCATTCCGCCGCTGGTGATGACGCTGGGCATGCTTGGCGTCCTGCAAGGACTTTTGGTCGTCGTCCGCCAGGGCATACCCTCGGGCAATGCGGCGCCGGCCCTGTCGGGTTTTGTCACCCAGCCCTTTCTTCTGGGGCTGCCGGGCATCATCTGGCTCTGGATCGCCATCGGCGCGTTCATGGCCTTTCTGCTGCGACGGACCGTGTTCGGTCACCGCATCTATGCCATCGGCTCCAACGAGCACGCGGCCGCGATGGCCGGGGTGCCGGTACGCCTGATGCGCGTGTCCCTGTTCATCTTGTCGGGCATGTTCGCGGCGATCGCCGGCATCTGCCTGCTCGGCTATTCGGGCCAGTCCTTTGCCAATGTCGGCGAGCAGTACATGCTGCCGTCCATCATCGCCGTGGTCTTCGGCGGCACGCCACTGTCGGGCGGCAAGGGCGGCTACACGGGAACCATGGCCGGCGCCGTTCTGTTGGTGATCCTGCAGTCCATCCTGACGACGATCAACATCGACGAAGCCGGCCGACAGATCGTCTTCGGTGCGACGCTCCTGGTGCTGATGCTGTTCTACGGCCGCGGCCGGGCCATGCGGGGCTGACAGTTGGCTGGGCGTCCGAAGATCAAGGACATCGCCGACATGGTCGGCGTCTCGCCGGCCACGGTGTCGCGTGCGCTGGCCGGAACCGGGCTTGTCGCCGAGCCGACGCTGTCGCGAATTCGAGAAACCGCCGCCGCCCTCGACTACCGCCCCAATGTCAGTGCCCGAAATCTGCGCACGCAAAGATCGATGGCGATACTTCTGGTCGTCCGCGATGCGGGCAACCCGTTTTATCTCGAGGTCTTCAAGGGGGTCGAGGCGGCGGCGCGAGAGGCCGGTTACGCGGTGCTTATGGGCAATACCGAGGACGATCCGGTGCGCGAGACCGAGTATTTCGCCATGCTTGGCGATGGCCACGCCGACGGGATGATCCTGATGACAGGCAAGCTGCCCGCGCCCAACGACACACGCGCGACAGGCGACGAGCCGGTGGTCGTGGCGCTCGAAATGGTCGAGGGTTCGGGATATCCGCATGTGGTCATCGACAACCATGCTGCCGCGCTTTCTGCGGTCAATCATCTGATCGAACTGGGCCACCAGAATATCGCGCACATCACCGGCCCTTTGCCGGAACCGATGAGCCAAAGACGCATGGAAGGCTACCGCACTGCCATGAAGCTGGCCGGACTGGCCATCCGCGAGGGGTTCGAGCAGCGGGGCGATTACCTGCTCGAATCAGGTGTGCAATGCTGTCGCGCCCTGCTCGCATTGCCCGTGCTGCCGACCGCGATCTTCTGCGCAAATGACGAGATGGCGTTCGGTGTCATCGGTGAATTGAACCGGCAGGGTGTTTCGGTGCCGGATGATGTGTCCGTAGTCGGCTTCGACGACCTGTTCCTGAGCGCCGCGTTCCAACCGCCCCTCACAACCGTCAGCCAGCCGCGCGCCGATATCGGTCGCCAGGCGATGACGATCCTCTTGTCCCGGCTGTCTGGCGCTGCCGTGCCCGATGAACCGGTGGTCGTCGCCACCCAACTCAAGGTCCGCGGAACCACGGCACCGCCAAAAAGCCTGACAACACAACACCAAGGGAGACACCAATGACCAACCTGCCGAAATCGAAGCTGCGCATCGGTCTGATTGGCACCGGCTTCATTGCCCAGTTTCATCTGCGTTCGATGGTTGGTGTCCGCAATGTCGAAGTCACCGGCGTCTACAGCCGCAAGGCGGAAAACCGCCAGCGCATTGTCGATCTGGTGACGGAACTGGAGCTGGGCACCTGCACCGCGCATGGCTCGCTCGAGAAGATGCTGCAAGCCGATGATATCGACGCCGTGTGGATTTTGACGCCCAACAACACGCGCCTGGACATCATGCGGACAATCCACGCCGAAGTGACGTCGGCGCGGAGCAAGGTCTTTGCCGTCGCCTGCGAAAAGCCGCTCGCTCGCACCATTGCCGACGCGCGCGAGATGCTGCGGCTTGCCGAGGACGCCGGCCTCAACCACGGCTATCTGGAAAACCAGGTGTTCTCGACGGCGGTGCTGCGCGGCAAGGAAATCGTCTGGCGCCGGGCCGCCTCGTCCACCGGGCGCCCATATCTCGCGCGCGCCGCCGAAGAGCATGCCGGTCCGCATGAAGCCTGGTTCTGGAGGGGCGACAAACAGGGCGGCGGCGTGCTGTCGGACATGATGTGCCATTCCGTCGAGGTCGCCCGTCACCTGCTCACCAAGCCCGATGCGCCGCGCAAGTCGCTGACCGTCAAATGGGTCAATGGCACGGTCGCCAACCTCAAATGGACGCGGCCGGCCTATGCCGACCAACTGCGCGAACGCTATGGCGAAGCGGTCGATTACCGCAACCGGCCTGCGGAGGACTTCGCGCGCGCCACCATCCTGCTTGAAGACGAGGATGGCCTGGAACTGATGATCGAGGCGACAACGTCCTGGGCCTATGTCGGTGCCGGTCTGCGCATCCAGCTCGAACTCCTGGGTCCGGAATACTCCATGGAGTTCAACTCTCTTTCGACCGGTCTCAAGGTCTTCATGTCGCGCGCGGTCACCGGCGCGGAGGGTGAGGACCTGGTCGAAAAGCAGAATGCCGAGCAGGGCCTGATGCCGGTGCTGGAAGACGAGGCCGGCATCTACGGCTACACCGATGAAAATCGCCATATGGTCGAGCGTTTCCGCAAGGGCGAACGGCCGGACGAGACATTCGAGGACGGCCTTGCAGTCGTCGAGATCCTGATCGGCCTTTACCGGTCCGCGGAACTTGGACAAACCGTGCATTTCCCGGCCGGCGACCTTGAGGATTATGTCCCCCTGGTCGCCCGGGCCGGCGACTGAGCGATGGCCGTCAGCGGCGTTCGTGCGCGATGAAGGCGTCCATCCTGGTGATCGGCAACGTCAACTTCGATCTCGTTCTCGGCAAGATCGACGACTGGCCGGACTTCGGAACGGAGATCGTCGTTGATCGCAGCGAGATGCGGGCCGGCGGTTCCGCCGGCAACACGTCCCTCGCCCTCGGCGGCATGGGAATCGGCCACCGCTTGATCGCGGCCACCGGCGATGACGTTTTCGGCGCGTGGCTGCGTGACGCGTTCGACGAGGAAACCTGCGACTGGATTGTCAGCCCGGGCGCGACGACGGTGACCGTCGGCATAGTCCACGCCGACGCCGATCGGGCCTTCTTCACAACGCCCGGACATCTGATGCGCGCGGACACGCGCATGGTCATGCGCCGGCTGACCAAAGCACCGCATTCGCGTGCCTGGGCGATCATCTCCGGCGGCTTCCTGATGCCGGACCTGATGCAAAACACGGCCGGCTTGATCGGCAAGCTGAAGGCGCTGGGATGGCGGGTTGCCATCGACCCCGGATGGCCGCCGGACGGGTGGAGCCATGCAGTCCGGTCCATGATGCGGCAATGGCTCGCGACGGCCGATGCCAGCCTTTTGAACGAGGACGAAGTCGTTCAACTGGCCGATGCTCAAAGCGTTGAAGCTGCCGCGGAAGAAATTGTCGCACGCGCCGGCGCCGACCACCTTCTCGTCCTCAAGCGCGGCCCCGATGGCGCCCGTGCGCACCATCGCGGCGCGATCCACGAAGCAACAGCCGCCGAGGTCGAGGCCATCGACACGGTCGGTGCCGGCGACACGTTCAATGCCGCCTTTCTCGCGGCGCTGGTCAATGGCGATGATGTTGCGAAGGTGCTGGCACGCGGCGTCCACACGGCGAGCCGGGCCATCTCCACATCTCCGAGGCGCTATGGCGATTAGAGCACTTCATCGTGCGGCTGAACCGGTCTCATGAAAGGCTGGTCTATGCTGCGACCATGACGTGCCGAGCGGCTTTGTAATCCCCCAACGCTTGGAGCGACATGTCCTTGCTGACCTGGGTCCCCTTGGTGACTCAGTGAGGAAGCCGACCCCCGGCATGGATTTGGGCCTCCGGCTGGCCGACCCGATGGACAGCGGATTTTGGCGGGAATTGCGATGGCACCGGGCTCCGACGCACCGAGGCCGCCGCAAGTCTCCCCGGTCTACGGCACGACGGCGCCGGCGCGCGAAAGCGCGTTCCAGATGCGGGCGTGCAAGTCCGGCGCGTCCTCGGCGCGCTTGCGCGCGACGATCTGCATCTCCAGGCCGCCGAGCTGGCCGCTGAGATCGCTCAGCCGTTCGTCTCGAAGATCGGCCTGCGCGAGAGCCTCCGGAACCCAGGCGACGCCGACGCCGGCGGATGCCATCTGCATGGCGGCCAATGTCAGCGCCGTCTCCGCGACGATGTTGAGCCGGCACTGACGTTCGAGGCGCGGGAAGATTTGGCGTTCAACGACAATGCCCAGAAACACGTCGGCGGGATAGGCGATCACGTCCAGACTGCCGGTGTGAAAACGCCACAGCATCTCTTTGACGGTCTGCGTCCCGTAAACCGGGATGAGCCTTTCGTTTGCGATGAAGGCCTCCATCGTCATTGCGGCGCGGTGGTCGGAATTGTCAGAGTCGAGACTGTAGGTAATCGAGAAATCGGCCTGACCGGTGAGCAGCAAGGCCTCGCATTCGTCAAGGTTGGCCGACCGCAGACGCACATGTGCCTTGCCGAGGCCGGAAATCAGCTTGACGATCTGTGGGCCGAGCGAGGCGGTGATCGCGTGCTGGCAGGCGACAACCACCAGGCGTGAACCCGACTGGCTCTCCGTCTGGATCTTCTTGATCAGACTGCGCTGCTGGCGCGCCGCCTGCCGCAATTGCTCCTCGTGATTGCGCAAGGCGGTCGCAGGCCGGTTCGGCTTCGACCGGCGGTCGATCAGTGTGACATCCAGCAATATCTCAAGTGTCTGGATTCGTCGCGAAAACGCCGATTGCGAAACATTGCGCATCGCTGCCGCTTCCACGACCGATCCCGTATCGAGCAGCGCAATGATGTCGTCGATCCAGTCAATCCTCATGCTGACTCACTCCAATATGCATTTCTTGCATGTTATGGCTTCAAAAATGCATTTGAATGTCTGGAAACACCGTGTCAACATCCTTCGAAAGTCCAAATAGGAGATGTCATTCATGCATTTTTCGCGTTTTCCGCGGGTGCATCTGGCACACTTGCCGACCGCACTTGAGCCCATGGATCGGCTCTCCGAGACGCTTGGCGGTCCACGTATCTGGATCAAGCGCGACGATTGCACCGGCATGTCGACCGGCGGCAACAAGACGCGAAAACTCGAATTCCTGATGGCGGAAGCGCAGGCTCAGGGTGCCGATCTGGTGATTACCCAAGGCGCCACGCAATCCAACCACGCGCGCCAGACCGCCGCGTTTGCGGCGCGCCTGGGCATGGATTGTCACATCCTGCTGGAGGATCGGACCGGCTCCAAGGACCCGAACTACAACAACAATGGCAACGTCTTCCTGAATTTTCTGCACGGGGCAACGGCCGAGAAGAGGCCCGGCGGCCTCGACATGAACGCGGAGATGGAGGCGGTCGCCGACGGATTCCGCGCGAGCGGGCGCAATGTTTATACGATCCCGGGGGGCGGGTCGAACGCGACGGGCGCTTTGGGCTATTCCAATGCGGCCATGGAACTGGTCCAGCAGGCCAATTCCATGGGCTTGAAGATCGACAGGATCGTCCATGCAACGGGTAGCGCGGGCACCCAGGCCGGGTTGATCGTCGGGCTGAAGGCGATCAACGCCAACATTCCGCTTCTCGGCATCGGCGTCCGGGCGCCGAAACCCAAGCAGGAGGAAAACGTCTACAAACTGGCCGTCGCAACGGCCGAAAAGCTGGGCTGTCCGGGCGTGGTCGCGCGCGAAGACATTGTCGCCAACACTGACTATGTCGGCCAAGGATATGGGATTCCGACGCCCGAATGCCTGCAGGCCATAGAGATGTTCGCGCGGCTGGAAGGGATCCTGCTGGACCCGGTCTACTCCGGCAAGGGCGCGGCCGGCCTCATCGACCTGGTCGCCAAGGGCGAGTTTGCCGACGATCAGAACATCGTCTTCCTCCACACCGGCGGCGCGGTCGCGCTGTTCGGCTATACCGACGCATTCGGCTACGAAAAGCCGGTCATGCAGGCGGCCGAGTGAGCGGAGGCACGGTGTTGGACCCCTTCCGCGGCAGTTTTACCCAGCAAGAGGCTCTGCCAGAAGCGGCGGTGGCGGCCGCCATCGACGTGATGCGTGGCGGTCGCCTTCACCGGTACAATGTCGCGGAAGTCGAACAGAGTTCCGTTTCGCGTCTCGAGCGTGCCTTTGCGGACTATCAGGGCGCCAGATACTGCCTCGCCTGCGCGTCGGGCGGTTATGCGATGTCGCTGGCTTTGCGGGCCGCTGGCGTCGGGCCCGGAGACCGGGTTTTGACCAACGCATTCACGCTGGCCCCGGTGCCCGGTGCGATCGCCGGCGTCGCGGCCCGGCCCGTTCTGGTCGACATTACCGAAGACCTTGTCATCGATCTTGAAGACCTGCGGCGCAAGATCGCATCGACCGGCGCCAGGGTTCTGCTGCTGTCCAACATGCGCGGTCATCTGTGCAACATGGACGCGCTCGTCGCCCTTTTGGATGATGCCGGCATCGTGCTCATCGAGGATTGCGCCCATACGATGGGCGCCGGCTGGAACGGCAGGCCCAGCGGCAGCTTCGGCCTGGCGGGGTGCTTCTCGACCCAGACCTACAAGCATCTCAACTCCGGTGAAGGCGGGCTGCTGACCTCGGACAATGCCGAATTCATCGCCCGCGCGATCATGCTGTCGGGCTCGTACATGCATTATGAGCGCCATGGCGCAGCGCCCCCCAGGGAGGCATTCGACGCCATCAGGCTTGAAACGCCGAACATGTCCGGCCGCATGGACAATCTGCGCGCCGCGATATTGCTGCCGCAACTGGCCGCGCTTGACGAGAACACCCGCCGCTGGAACGCGCGGTACGACCTTCTGGCAACCCGCCTCTCCGCAATTCCCGGTGTGGTCCTGCCGAACCGCCCGCAGGCAGAAGCCTATGTCGGCAGCTCGATCCAGTTCCGTCTTCCCTGGGTCGACGAGGCTTCTGCCAGGGAATTCATCGCCGCCAACAAGGCCCTGGGTGTCGAACTGAAATGGTTTGGCGATGCCGACCCGACCGGATTCACCTCCAACCATCACAGCTGGACCTACATCGAACCGCAAGACCTGAAACAAACCGACCGGGTTCTTGCCGGCCTGTTCGACATGCGCATCCCGCTGACCTTCACGCTCGACGATTGCGAGCATATTGCCGGTATCATCGCCCACACGCTGGCCCACATCTCGTTGGACGGGGCAGCATGACATCCCGAAAAGCCACAATCGGCGTTCTGGGCGGCATGGGCCCGGAAGCCACGATCCTGTTCATGCAGAAGATGCTGGACGCCGTGCCCGCCAATGACGATTGCGACCATGTCCCGCTGATCGTGCACAACAACACGCAGGTGCCGTCGCGGATCAGGGCACTGATCGAAGACGGCGGTGAAGCCCCGGGGCCGGTGTTGGCTGCGATGGCCAAGGATCTCGAGGGCGCCGGCGCCGATGCGCTGGCAATGCCCTGCAACACCGCACATCACTATGCGCCCGTGATCGCCGAGGCGGTTTCGATCCCCTTTCTCGACATGGTGCGGCTGGCATCGGGCAAGGCGCTAGAGCAAACGGCGCCTGGCGCGCGCATTGGCGTTCTGGGGTCGCCCGCCTTGCAGGCCACGCGTGTGTTTGAGGGTCCTTTCGCGCAGGTTGGCCTGACGCCGATCTACGGCAACGACGCCGACGCGCGTCTTGACATCATCCGCAGCGTCAAGAAGCGCGGCGTCACGCCAGACGCGATCGGCGCCTTGCAGGACTCAGCCGATCGCCTGGTGGAGCGCGGCGCCGATGTTCTGATGGTCTGTTGCACCGAGTTCTCACTGATTGCCGACCGTTTGCGCAACAAAGCGATGCTGTTCGACACGCTCCAGGTGCTCGTCGATGCATGCGTCGCGTTCTCAACCGGCGACTCCCAATCCAGCGAAGCAGCGCGCGGGTCGAGCGCAGCTTCCGTGCCCCCAAAATCCGACCATCTGGGAAAGGAAAACCTGCCATGCTGAACAGCAAATCCCGACTGATGATCGCGACGGCGCTCGTCTCGATGAGTTCCGTTTCTGCGGCCCAGGCCGCCGATCTGGTGCTTGGTGTGCCGAACTGGCCGGCAGCCAACGCGACCTCCAACATCCTCAAGGTGGTCATCGAAGAGAATTTCGGCCTGGAAGTGGAGCTGCAAAGCGGCACAAACCCGATCATATTCGAAGCCATGGATGCCGGCTCGATGCACCTGCATCCGGAGGTGTGGCTGCCCAACCAGGCCAATCTCCACAACAAATTCGTCAACGAAAACAAGACCGTCGTGATGAACGAGAACCCGGTTCAGGCGGTACAGGGCATGTGCGTGACACAGCACACCGCCGACACCTACGGCATCACCTCGATCAATGACCTGACCGATCCCGACAAGATGGCGATCTTCGACAAGGACGGAAACGGGACGCCGGAAGTGTGGATCGGTGCGCCGGGCTGGGCATCGACGGTCATCGAGAAGATCCGGGCCAAGTCCTATGGCTACGATCAGACCATGGAGCTGAAGGAGTATGACGGCACCGTCGCATGGGGTGAGCTGGGCGCAGCGGCAGCGGCTGACGAGCCATGGATGGGCTTTTGCTACGAGCCGCACTTCATCTTTGTCGCCTACGACCTTGTCTATCTCGACGAACCGCCGCACGATCCGGACACATGGACCATCATCCAGCCGACCGACGACCCGCAATGGCTGGAGAAGTCGTCGGCATCGACCGCATGGAAGGGCGCAACGCTTCATCTGCACTACGCGGCGTCCATCCGCGACGACTTCCCTGAAGTCGCCGCGATGCTCGACAGCTACCAGATGCCGCCGGAAGTGCTCAGCCAGGCCGGCTATGCCCTGTCCGTCGAGGATGTGGACGTGGAAGAGTTCGCCAGGAACTGGGTGGCCGAGAACGAAGACATCGTGCTCGGCTGGCTGACGAACTGACCTTGTCGCCGGACTGTCGCGGAACGCCCGTTCCGCGACAGCGCCCCACCGGGCAGACGCCCTGACAATCCACTGCGAGTTCATATGGCTGAGACCGTCGTCGAACTGTCCAATGTCTGGAAAGTTTTTGGTGAGCGTGCCGATGAGACGATCGCCGATGCCGAACGAACCAACCTCTCCAAGACCGAAGCTCTGGAGAAGTACCAGACCGTCATCGGCGTGCGCAGCGCCTCGTTTTCGGTCGCCCGCGGCGAGATCTTCTGCATCATGGGGCTGTCCGGCTCGGGCAAGTCGACGCTCGTTCGGCACGTGAACCGGCTCATCGAGCCGAGCGCCGGTTCCATCAAGGTGCTTGGCACCGATGTCGGGGCGATGGGCAATGCCGAACTGCGCCAGATGCGGGCCCGCCACATCGGCATGGTCTTCCAGCACATGGCACTGATGCCACATCGCTCGGTGCGCGAGAACGTCGCCTATCCGCTTGAAATCCGGAAGATTCCCAAGTCCAGGCGATGGGCGATTTCCGACTACACGCTCGGACTGGTCGATCTGACCGGCTACGAAGACCGCCTGCCACGCGAGCTGTCCGGAGGCATGCAGCAGCGCGTGGGTATCGCCCGGGCGCTTGCCAGCGACCCGGAAATCCTGCTGATGGATGAGCCGTTCTCGGCGCTCGACCCGCTGATCCGGCTGCAATTGCAGGACCAGTTCAAGGCGCTTGTGCGCGACCTCAACAAGTCGACGCTGTTCATCACCCACGATCTCGACGAGGCCATCCGCATAGGCCACCGAATTGCGATCATGAAGGACGGCGTCATCGTCCAGATCGGCACCCCCGAAGAGATCGTCACCAAACCGGCCGACGACTATGTGCGCGAGTTCGTGCAAGGCATTTCCCGGCTGA